TGCATCTATTTATTAATTCTGAGAAGTTCTTTACATCTCAGGTAAAGTCATGCCTTTATTTCTGTAATAAGCCTTTTGAAAAATGAAAGGATCACTGGTGATACATTGTTCAAAATGGGAACCCTGAGTTTCCAAGTCCTATTTTGTCAGAATCGAAAGAGACAAGGATGAACAGAGATAAAAGGAATTGAAGACAGCAGTGAAAACACTATTTTGGATAATCACTCGTACAGGGATACTGTATATATGTAACAAGAGAAGGTCGTCTTGTAGTTAAAGTGTGTTGCCACTGAAGTGCTTCAGATAGACAGTTGCTCTTCTCCTTGTGTTCACCAGTTAGATGGTGGCAAATGACCCAGCACAGGTCTAGAAGGAAAGCAGTTCTGGAATACCTGGCAAAGATGCAGTTAACGTAATTCACCCCTATAGAGTGCAGATGCAGAAATAAGTGAGACGACAGAAACCAAAAGATAAAGTATTTAATCGCGGGACGACTGTGAGAAATAGTACCCATCGAGTAATACAAACTATCTTTTGAAATATTTCTATGAGTAAAAGTAATATTTCTGTTCTGTTACTTGTAGGGACCTTGTATACACTGTTAGGGAGCATTTAGGCACTTACCAGGTGTATATGAAATGCTTTTAAATGTTTCACCAAACTCTATCACAAGTATATCACATCTACAATTTTCAGTCTGGTTTTTATTATTCCCTTTAACTATTCTCTGTTAGAAAGTCTTACTGGGTAAGGAGGCATAAATATTAACTTGTTATTTTGTAGAACTGCTGCACTCTGTGAATGGAAGATGGAGCACAAGCAATAAATTATAATTTACTCTCATAAAATACAGATGAATATGTGAAGTAGATAATATTCAGAAGTCAGGACTGACTCACAAATGAATTTTCATGAAAATGTAGGGCTCAGTAGCGAATGTTGTTCATAATGGAAATTTTCTGAAGATCCTTTTGAATCTCAAGAAAGGTACAACAGGAGAAGAGGATCAATAAATGTCAGGTGATGCAAGAGGGGGAAGAAGAGGCAGGCAAAAACACTGGTGTTCCACAAAATTCAATTACTAAATTGAATGCAAAATGGCTTTTGTTTTAGTTATAAACATCTTTATTATGAAATTTGTGTACACTTTTTGGCATCTCAGAATTGTGCACAATTTTTGACATCTCAGGCTTTGTAAAATGATAAAAGTTAATTTGAGGAGAGCGCATTGCAACTGTTTACCTTTTTGTACTCTCCAGTGACACGCAGCATGGAAAAGAAAGACCTGCAGTATGACTCAGTTCCGAATATATAAATAACTTTGATAAAGTGGAACTTCATAACCTGTCTGCTTCAGCATGCTGAAAATTTAGTCATTTTATTGCATTGAAACCTAAATATGTTCGACTTGGGTGTGTTTTTTTTTTTTTCTCTTGTGATCAATTGTATTAGAAATCTAAATGAATCACATTTTATGAAATTATTTATTAACTAGGTTTGATATGTCTTTAAATCCGCGATTGTCTCTTTCTGTAGCCTGTCTTTAAAGGTCTCTTTTCTCGTTAATGCTCAAGTTAGTCATCAAGTGAACTTCTTTTGGTGTCAGTGAAAATCCTACACAGAATCTCGCCTTCGTTTCCAAGTACATGCTTTTCTAAATAGAAAATGCCAAAAATATTCTGGAAGACATGTTTAGATGGATGGGTAGATGTGGAAATATCCAGAAGTAAAATGGTTTAAGTGGCAATGAAAAGATTTCAGTGCTTCTAAGCACTACAGGTTAGTGTCACAAATAAAAGATTGGTAGGCTATGAAAACAAAACAGTCCTCTGAAGATGCTTAGCATAGAAAAATGGGAGAAGAGGTCTGAGGAGCCCAAATGAGAGCCCTGTGTACATCAGCACAGCTTGGCTTGTCTGTTAAGAGTTTCATAGCCTGAAAGGATCAGATTTCCCTTGCAGTAAGATATTGGCTCTTTTTGAATGATGAAACTACCTTAATAGCCGTCGTCTTAACAGCCAAATATTTTGCTGCTGGACAGTATTTATACATACACAAACACACACACACACACATTTAGAAGCACTGAGGTTTTTTTTCCTCAAAAAAAGGGTTAAATAAACACTACATGTCAAGTTAAAGGGGGACTTGGCAGGAGTGCCTTCTACATGTCTTCTACATGACTGTGGCTGCAGGATTGTAAAAAGCACTGTAGCTGACACTTGAACATTTACTTTTTTTTTTTTTTTTTCCTAAGTGGAAGTTTCATTTCATGTTTGTTTAATAGCAATAAGACTTTGGTGTCCTGTTACTATTTTGATAAAGCATTATGTTTTCATCAATTGAATGAGATAAATATTCAGCAATATCAGATTGGTACAAATCCTTTGCTTAGGATGGCTACATACATCAGGGAGACTGGGAATTTAGCATTTTCAATTGAGAAATTGTTTGCTGGAGGCCTTTAGCAACAGGCTGGACAAACAGGAATGACAAATATAGCTGATTTTACTTTGGGGTGGAAGGATAAGTAAGAGTGGCCTTAGGGTACTTTCTGGCTTTCTGGACATGCAATTTTCTCAAAAGAAATTTTCTGGCCATGCAGTTTTCTCAACAGGAATAAATAATGTTTGTTCCTAACTTTTATGTATTTATTTATTTATTATAACTAGAATGAGCAGGAGTCAGCCCAACTTGTGATGTAGATCTGCATGTTCATCTGTACGCAGATGAATCAATAGCCAATAAGCAAGCAGAACAAAGAAGATTGTGTTAGTCTGACTTATGCTGGAGGTTTTTGCCTTCCTCTAAAACACATTAGCAAAGATTAACTTTAATAATTAAAATTTTAGAATTTACTGTAAGTTCTGCTTTTCATCTAAAATAATATCAGTTAAAAAAGGCAAAAACACTCTGTTGTGTGAGTGTCATTAAATCCTTTTCAAATATATACATTTTTTTTTTATCCTCCTTCTTGTAGCAAGAAAAGACAGTGGCAGTTAGGGAACTGAAGTCACATTTGTACCTTGGTAAATTGCCTTTGATTTATTACAGCTATAATGGACATTGGAAGCTAGCTCATATACAACAGAATAATAATCGTCACTTGGATATCCGAGTAACAGCTGTAAAGCAGAGGAGAGGCTCTGTTACACTGGAGAGATGTCAGTATGTTTCTTTTAAAATAGAATGCAAAAAATTATAGTTTAAAAAAAACACACATACACACAACACAAAACCTAGTTTTCCACCTGTGAGTGGTGGAAAGGGTTAGAAGATCATGAAAAATGCAGAGGTTTCCTAGCAACCCAGTTAGGAGTTTTATTCTTTTGCATGTATTTTCATAATTCTTTATTAACGTTACCTACAGATGTTGTCAGCCTCCGCAGGGATCTAATGGGAGAAAAAAGGAGTAGAGGGTCAAAGATGTCTTTCATTTGGTGCTCTGTATTCCCTGGAGATTCAGTGAGGCTACATTGCTGCTGTGGATCAAGTGTTGATCTGGAAGTTGTGTGAATGTTGCAAAGCAAAACTTTTGCATAGGGTAGCAAGAATTATACCTGTATGACGAAAATTATACCAGGAAATCATATGAGGGAGTTTTCACTCCATTTTTATTCCATGCATTCCTGAATGAAATTATCCAGGAGTGAGTGGTGACATTTGGATGTCCTTTTGATCTCTTAGGTAGTGTTTAGCTCCATGGTTGGGTCTAGTTGGGTTGTTTGCTATTAAGGAACATTTGGGAAAGTATCCTCGCATGAGTATCTTTTAATACAAGTCTTTAAATCTCAGGTTTGTATTCTCTGTGATCCTGGTGTGAAATCCAGTGGAAGCCTTTCTGTGAATTTCAGTAGGCTTTAGCTCATACCCCTGTGTAGCCACAAATGGTCCAGTTACAAGAGTGGGTATTGGGCTCATATATGCTCTCCCAGTGCAGTTGCCAGCTGTTCTTGGCAATGACGATAGCTGCTTGCCGTGCCTGGTATGGCTGCCTCCAGGTGCTTTGTGTCCGTGAGGAGTTTTGATCTCCACTTGGAGAAGGGTGATGATTAATATCTCCAGATCCATGGTGTTAGAGAAAGAAAACCTCCTCAGTAAGGGTGCTCAGTTTCTGTCCAGGAAAACCGAAAGCTTTGCAACTGCTGTGTTTGGGTTCCGAGTTAGCAGAGAGGTTTTATACAACTATAAAATACTCTAAAAATACGTAATAATAGGTAATACTTAAATCCATAGACATAGGCCTCAATACTTCGGGACGTTTGTGATAAATATGTCAGTTGGACTTATTTTCGGTTGTGCTGCAGTCTTTTCTGAACAGAAGTAATTATTGAAGATATTAACAACTTACTTGTTTTGGCCTTTGTAGTCTGGTTGCCAGATATGATTCAAGTAAATAAAAGTTTCTGTGCTGGCTCGGTATGTGAGCTCAATGCATTTGCTTGCATTCTTCAAAGACCAGATTTTTTATCATTAAACATGGAGTAACTTAGAATAAGTCCATGGGCCTGAGAATTGACAAATCATTTCTCTGTATTGTCAGTTTTCAAGAACCTGCATGAACTGACTATTGTTCTGTCTAATTTAGTGTCCTTTCTCAAACTTTTTTTTACAATAAAATGTCAAAAAAGGCAATTAATGTGTAAATACTTGAACACTTCCACAACCTATCAATATGTGTTAATTTGGGGGATGGGGGCAGGGGGACGGGCAGAGGGGAGGATGGGTTGTTTGTGTTTTATCTTTCATTTACTTTTTATACTATCTTGGGGTACCTCTTTTGCTACAAGCTGCAATTAACCATAGAATTTAATAGAAATCACCCATTACTTGGAAGCAGAGAAGTCGGCCCTACTACCTCTTTCTTAAAAGTCTGTGATCTTTATTCCCCACTCCTTTGGAGACCATCCCCTCCTGAGTGTTAAATGTTTGCAGTAAGTATCTTTAATGCAATGAACAGATGCGTGGAGTAACGACCTAATGTTTTGCTAGGTTTTGCAATGGAACAGGTATGGTTACTGCTCCTGCTGACAGCTAAAGTGCTTTCGGTGACTGCTCAGTTCAATGGATACAACTGTGATGCTAACCTCCATAGCAGGTTTCCTGGTAAGTATTTAATAGACTTCTTCCTAATGGCTTCGTTACTGTCTTGGTTCAAAGTAGCAATTATTTTTAAATACGAAGCTTTAAATCTGTGTGGTGCCTAGGGGTAGGACTTCACATTAAATGAGTGTGAACCATCTCAGTGACAATGAAATTTCTCTAATGTTGCACTCACAATTTTTCTTAATGCACAATGGGCCAAATTCAGCGTAATATTAATGAATAGTACTTCCCTGACGCCCATGGGTTTGACCTGCTTTTGCCAGAGCTCTATTCTGCAAAAAAAAAATTGCCAGAGGTCACATTGCTGGAGATCTTCATTGTAACTGGGATTTTTTCATGTTTTAGCTGGAAAATTTTCAAAGAAGATGCATTTGAAGGCAAAATTCAATGACTCAGTTCTTCATTAAGCCTGTGGTTAGGGAGAGATGCAGCAATGGGATATATCCGTATATAAGGTACATTCATACTCTGGTGAAAAAACAGGGGTTAAATTGTTTTGGGGATATTAGATGCCCACAGCTCCCCATACACTGAGAACTAGAAATGAAATTTCAGTCTTGGCAATATGTATGTCAGAGTTTACCTGGCTAAAGGATGTTTTAGCCTCTCCTACATGGTTTATTCGCTTTCTTGGACAGAATAATAATACTGCAAATACCTTCTGGTATTTGTATCCTGTTTTTCTGAGGCAGAGATTGAATCAAATGGTTTAGTGGTGACATTATTATGCTGTAATACCTTTCACTGTTGTTGTTTTTCTGAATAATAATAGCTTTGATTTTTTTTTTTCCCCAGACGGGATCAGTTCTTTTATTAAATCTAAATCATCAGAAAGCCTTCAGTCTGTATTTACTGTTACCTGTGTTAGCACCACACTGCTAGGGGCTTTGTGGAAATAAAAACCAACAGTGGATTTGATTATTTTTACACTTAATAGGTGTGAATATGGGGAGTAGAGAAATGCAAGACATGCAAAGAAGATCAAGTAATTTTCTTCATCACTAACAAAAATCACTGGCAACTGATCTTTCACAAAAGTGCCTATAAATCTCCCTTCTTGGCAAAATTTTATGAGCTTGCCTGGAAGAGTGTGAGTGGATTGTGCCCATCTATGTCAGATCCATATTTCATAGATTTTCATGCAGTCTTTGTCCTACATACAATTTCAGGTTTATTGAGAGGATTTCAGTGACTGGAAGGAAGTTCAGATTCCTCTTTCTGTGTTTGTTTGTTTTCTTCCATTTACTTTAATCACTTTTTTTTTTTTTTTTTTTGGTAGTAGCTCTCTGTCAAGGAGATATTTGCAACGTGTTACCCATGAATTGCAGACAGCCATTACTGTGAGCAGCTAGGGCCTACTTGTCATCCTGTACCTCAGGAATAAACAAACAAACAAAAACATGGTCTCCAGTATGACCTTTTTCCCTGGCCCTGTTCCAATCCCTCCCCACAGGAGTTGAGAATTGAGCCATGCTCTTTCCTGTTTGTGACTCTGAAGCAGAAAAGCCAAAGCCTGGGATTCAGTTAGCCATCTTAGTGCTGATTTTGTGAGCTAAGAAAGAAGAATTCCCCTATATTAGGCATGCAGTGTGAGGTTTCTGTGGTGGTGTCGGTTTATATTTTCTTTTTATTTTATATTTTTAAAACTCTTATCCTGGAATTTCTGAAGGTGGTATTTTCAGCTTGCAGGAGGGATTGCTATGCAGCAGTGAGACTCGCAGAGCTTTGTGGGGTGAGTGGGGCTCTTTGTGGTTTCAGGATCCCCAGAAGATGGATGAGAAGCTTGTGCTGGGTGAGGCAGGCATTTTCTCCACTATAGTTTCCAGGACTCGTTTCAGACCTTGATCACTGACTGCTTTCAGAGTTCAAAAATGAACTGAGTGGGGAATGAGAAGATCGAAGGAAGAATGCTTCAAAAATGGATTTTTGAGGTTGTGATACTGCTCACAGAGCCTGGTTATAAATATGATGCTTTTCCCCCTTATTTTTTATTTCTTTTGTATAATAGCTTTTCACAGTTGTCAACATGAATTCCAAAAATGGAGTGAGAGTGGACTGTCTAGCTGAGGCCTGTGGTGGAGATGGCAGAGATTTTGTTGCTCGTTAAAGGTGTTTTGCTTTTCCTCCCCACCCCCCCCTTTTTTTTTCCCTTAAGTTTTAGGAAGGACAGAAATTTAGGAAGCTAGTCTTCAGCAAAAATTAGAAATCAAGCCTTCCTGAAGGAACCCCGGTGAAGGGGCAGTGGCTTATCTATTTCGAACTTGGTTCTTATTACTGTTTCGGTGACATCTGTACAGGATGATGCTGCATAAATAAGATGACTACTAATCAGGCAGGCAGGACTTTTGTTTCTGTTGTTTACAGTTTGGTTTTAGAGCGCAGGTGTGAAATAGCTGCACTGGAGAGAAAACATCCTGGTAGATAGAAAATTTGGTGGTTTGTTACACTGGAAGATAAATGTTTTAGAGAATATGTAGTTAATGTCAAATCTTGCCATCGTTTGAAGAAGCCAGGAAGAATGCATTTGTTTCCATGATAGCATTTGACAGTTGTTAATTTGGCTCTAGTTCTGCTTCGCAGTAAAAGCATTAATATTGGAATGGTTTGGAAGAGCAGAACCATTGCAGCGTGGCTGCCTTCAGATAGGGAAACCCAGTGATTTTATTCATGGGGCCCTCGCTGTAAATTTTGCACATCCACCACGTTTTAATTTACTATCAAAGCAGTGGTTCGATCCAAGAGGAGACTCACATAGAGCAGAAAGCTGATTTTGAACTATGTATCTTTGCCCGAAGGATTTAACCAAAAGAGTTGCCCGATGTTCTGAAGAGCTGTTGTCAGATCCTCTGCTAGATGGGGAGCAATCCTTGGCAATGTGTGGAGGGGAAGCAGAAGAGGAGTGGGCAACAGGCTTGTCTGCTGATGTTGCTATGAGTCTCTTAATCCCACAGGACCTCTGTTACCTCAGGTGCCTCGTGAACATGGTGTTTTGTGTTGGATACGCATCAGAAAGAGGCAGAGTGCTTTGTCCTTACGCACTGCTGTGACAAGGAGGCTGCTGCCCTTAAGGCCCTGTCAAACCTGAGCTGCGTGACCTAACCTGCTACTTAGAAAAGAAGTGTTTATGGACAGAATCCAAGCATTTTCATTTAAACTCATACAGGAGGAATTGTTAATTCAAGAGAAGCGAGCAAGACCTTTTTTAATATCTAATGATGTGATGTTATTTCTGTTTGCATCTGGTTTCAGGTGCACTTCTGAACAAATGCTGTGTGTTTTTGAGTTGCAGAATTGACAAATTCAACAGCAGCACTCCCTTGTAGAGTGGTAGGGGAAAAGGTACCGTCTGGTACAGTGACTTTCCTCTTGCATAGAGCGGAGGTTGATTTTTATCGCGTGTGTGGTCTCAATGCTCTTAGTGTCAAAGAATTTTGCAAGTGGTAATGATATCTTAGCAGTAAAGTAATATTCTTCTTTTCAAAGGGTTTGAAGTGAGTTTAAAAAATTGTGGGCTACTTTATATCACTCCTAGACCCATAGAATTCTTCCCTTCCGATTTGCAATGTGTTACTATCTGATTGTTTGTGCGGTAGTTCAGATTCAGTAAGGACACATTCCCTTTACCATGTTTTTTCCTCTTCTGTCTCTCCGATCATAATATCATGAGGTTGTTATGGCAGTCTCCTTATAGTGGATACCAAAGCATGTGGCTTCTTAACCCTTATACCTTAGGTGAATTGTATTATATATATGTACAAATCAGGAGAATTTCCTGCGGAATCATTTGAAGCCTGCTTTACTCTCTGAAGGTAAATTGGAGCACAAGGGTACTAGAGACAATGTTTAAGACCACAGTAGCTCAGAAGAGAGTTTGCCCAGTTATTTCGTGTACTTGGTTTGGCTTTGATGCCCCCATTAAAGCTGTATAAATTAAAATGCTCATGCTCCTCTGTGATGGGGGAGAGCCCCTTGGTTGTAAGGGAGCCTTCGTTTCCTCTCTGCTGTGGCTATGCAGCAAAACAATTAATTTCAGCAGGTTTGATGGTATGGTATTGGCTGAAGTTGTTCTGCCACTTTTAATAGCACTCAGTTTTTGAGCAGGTGCAGTAAATGAGTTGTTATATAAAGGAGCAATGGTTTAACCCAATGAAATATGTCACTTCGTAGAGCACAAGGAGAAGTGAAGCTAAACCAAAACAAACAAACAAAAAACAAAACCACCCTCATCATCTAAAGACAAAAAAGAAAGATTTTTGAATAAATCTACTTTATCTTGTTCTATAGCTAGACAAATTATCATTTTGCTCCTATATCCTAATGTGATGCTTTCAATTTTCCATTCAAGTATATGTAGACTGCTATGACAGTCTTCAGAATCGTCAAATAAAAAAGCCAACTTCTAATTGAAAAAGTGTTTAACGTTGTTGAAAAATTGACCAGTTGTAATAATTGCTATTTTTTTAGGTCTTTTATGCTGTCATAATGTACAGAATGAAAGATTGCAAGGCACTTTATAGTATTGATCATTGTCTTTCAAAAGCCAACTGTTTTTTTTATTGGAGCTAAAGCTGATAGTTCTTAAAAAGAAGAAAAAAACCTTTGAAGATACCACAATAAATTGCTCTGATACGCTGTTGATTGTACTTCAAAGCCTGTATCGCGTGAGACGATGGTGGACTCCAGACAACCTCAGAGAAGCTTCGTGTGCAGCTTCGATGCCCGGTGCTGGCAGGGCTGTGCTGGAAGGCAGGCCTCAGCCTCCTGAGGTTCTCCAGGCCTCTGGGATTTACTGTTTCAGAAGGGGGCTGTTCAGTCAAACTCCAAATATGTAACCCCTTGTGTTTTCCCCTCTGCTGCACTGCTTCGGTTTATGGGTGTGCAGTTGAATGAGCTGGTGGGGAATTTGGGAGAAATAGTTTTGTTGCACAGTAGACTAAGTTGCCATATTTTACTTCTGTTTTTTTTTCTTTAGTGAAGTTGTACAGCCAAATAAATCTGCTTTTCCTTTTCAGAATCATGTGATTTTGACCTTTATTTTCTGATATTGCTGCCACTGAGGTCGAAAAAGTGATTTCTGCAGCAGTTACAAAAATACTGCTACAGCCATTCTGTGCTAATTAGCCAAAATACATCTCCTCACAGTGTGTTTTCTTGTATTTTTCTTGCAGCTGAACGAGATATCAATGTTTTCTGTGGAGTACAGACAATTACTATGAAGATAAATTTTTGCACAGTTCTCTTTTCCGGTTATTCTGAAACAGATTTGGCACTGAATGGGAAACATGGGGATGCTCACTGCAGGGGGTTCATCAATAACAACACCTTTCCAGCAGTGGTCATTTTCATCATCAATCTGAGTACTTTGGAATCCTGCGGAAATACTTTAGTGGTAAGGCGAGATCCAAGTGAAATTGTAGCGTTGCTCTCTGCACAGAGTTGAGTGTGTGCCCTGACAGCACTGTATCTTTTACAGATGCTTGCGTGGTCTTGTTCAGTTTGCAATATATTGCATGTGTCAAAAAAAGGAGAAAAAGATACTGTATAATCTTGGTTACTAATTAAAAGATATGATAGGAGATAAATTTGCCCTCATTAGAAAGTGTGGTTTTCATTGTATTAAATTTTGGGGAAATTATTATTTTTTTCTTCAACATCTAAACTTTTGCTGAGCATTTTTAACTTTGCCAAAATGTTTCAAATAACTATGTAGAAAATGAAAACAGTATTTTTAAGAGTGGGTTAGTTAATAGGGTACTAAGGTGCCCATTTCCATTCTCTGTGAGAGGGCCCTCTTGAGAGATCTGCAGCCTGTGGTAAGGCATTGATTTTGGGTTGAATATCACAGAGGACAGAGTTAATCTGGCCAGATATCCAACACTGCTAGGGCGAAGGCTGACTGCAGGCATCACTGCTAGGAGCCCTGTGTGGTCGTGCACCTCCACATAAGGCCTCAGCTCAGGATGGCTTAGAAAAAATAGGAAATTTTGAATAAAATTCTAATTTTGTTTGGCAAAAACACTAAGTGTGATCCAACCCATTCACTTGATTCATGACAAAAACACCAAAAAGCAGAGCTGAAATTTTGGATTTATATGTTCAGCTCTGATCCTTTGTGCTTGTGCACTGCCGCCATCTGTGCTGAGGTCTTTTGCCTGGTGGTGTGACTTCAGTGTCTGCATTTATATTGCTGCTTAATGTGCTAATAACAAATGTCTTTATACTGCTAATGACCAAATCTGATCTTTATCTGTAAATGAATTTTTAGAGCCAGAATCTGTTCCAGAAACTGACTTCCGATGTCTGTTTCATACCAGTGTAATTGCATTTCCTTCAGTGAACAAATATCACCACGAATACCAAAAAAACCCTCCTAAACCAAAGGAGGGGGCTGATTGTACAGTTTGTGTGTACATCACACTGTACAAACAGTGATGTCTTGTATCAAAGTATCTATCAAAAACTTGCAAGTATAAAAATAAATTATTTTTTGTGACTTATTCTAGCTGGAATTTGTAGTCAAAGTTGTATACCTGCCACTTTTCATAAGAAACTGCTTGCTCTAAGATGCTAAAACTATGTCAAACTGGGCTGAAATGTTCCATGTTGCACTGTGACCTATTAGTCTCAGAATGAACTTTCTTTTAAAATTTCCACAAATATTAGTTCAGATAGTTCAACATTCTTTCTTATCCCCAGTTTCTCTGAAAGGCTGTAAAAGCCCCATGACTTTGAGTAGAAAAGTGTGACAAGCAGGAACCTTTTGATGTCCCCTTGGAGTTGGCTGCGTAGTAAACTCCTTGAATTTTCTACTTAATTATAAGAGAGTGCTATTTCAAACAAACAAACAAAAACTTCAGTCCAAGTAATCGGAGCTCCCTGTGAGGCCCCAGCAGACTTCAGAGCATACCAAACAGTGGAGCAACTGCTAAAAATAAAACAGATTTTCCTCCTCTTCTCCTTCATCTTATGCATGCTGTGCCACAAGCAGAGGATGAAGGAGCAGAAAGGCTTTCCCTTCAGTTTCTGCAGACTGAGGTATTTCAAACATTTTTGGCTATGTGTCACAGCAAAGACCCTTTTACTTTTTTCTTACTTTGATGGAAGGAGAGTTAATTTTCAGACAGAACTGAGGATAAAACCTGGGTCTGTAATATGGCAGACACAAATTCTTATTTATGTGCAAGTGGAGGAAACCTGTATAGAGCTGTAGTCAATTTTACTAAATGCTCTACGCTGTTCCTTAAGAAAAGGACAGATCCTAGGAGTTCTCTGTGTGTTTTTATTTACTTAATTTATTTAAAAATCAAAAAAATCCGAATGCCTGACATGTATCTAGTGCTATTCGGTTGCAAATGTTACGATTCATGTACACCTCAGAATGATTCTTCCACGATAGCATGTTTTTCCAAAGTTAAGAAACTGTATTTGAAGGCTGTTAAAAACGCTAGCTCAGCTTATACAGTTATTCAAGAGAAGTGCTACAGAAGAAGTTCCATCGTGTACTTTCTCACTTTCTCATGGGGATGTAATTTGGGACATGTTTATTTGCAGTGCTGTTTTCAGAGCAGTAGTTGTAGATGGAGTGGGGCCAGGTGTGAGCTGGAGGACAGGGTGTTCTTGTGTTTTCTGGAAATTCTGGTGAGCTGTGTCCTGTTCCTGAGGGATGTGGAATAGCACAGGTATCCAGAGGTCTACCACATTGGAGTATCTTACTGAAACAAGCTTGCTACTGCTGAATTGAGCACAGGTGTCCTGAGGTATAATGAGAACAGGTAACCGAATTAAGCTTTTGTTGGCAACTTCAAATAAGGCATTAGCTGAGTGTATATTAAAAATTTGGCTTTCAACTATTGCATTTCTTTGCAAGCAGTTTATTAGACATGTATAAAATAGACACAGAGACCTGAAGTTCAGCTGTTTGCCTGGTATCTGTTTATAAAATATAGTGATTTTGATGTATCAAAAATAAAAATATCAAGAGTGATCAAAGTACTGTTTCTGTGAATAACATTATTAGTGCAAGAACTTTGTTGCACGTGGAAGCCTGTTTCAAGCTATCATTCTTCAACCATGGAAAAATCAATTTTTTAACCAGAAGAGAAATGTTCATTAAGCTTTTCCCAGTAAGTTTTGGGAATCAATTGAGAATGCTTAGGAATTCTTGATCCTGGAGAGATGAGAAACGGAACCCAGAGAATTTGATGTTAGCAAATCAAATTAGCTTCTGAAGGGTTTCCTAAACTTATCTCTGTGTGAACTATGAATTAAAGCATCAGCCCTTTTTTGGGTAACACGTATTCTGTGCTTAGCTTTCTGTTAATATTTATTTTCTCTCTCCCTCAATAGGTATCATCAGCTCGAGGTGTCAATGCCTATGGGAATATCTCAGTGGTACAGATAGGTAATGTTTCAGGCTATATAGATACGCCAGACCCACCAACGATTATCAGCTACTTACCTGGGCTTCTGTACAAATTTAGCTGTAGCTATCCACTGGAGTACCTGGTTAACAACACCCAGCTAGCTTCGTAAGTGTAGTTCTCATTCCTATATGTTTTGTTCCCATATGAACGTAAGCCCGTATGGGCGTATGCATCTGCACCTAAATATATGCATACTATGGCATTATTATCAACATACTGATATTTCCCCTTGTAACAATGGGAGGGGGAAAGCAGTGAAAGAATCTGGTGCTTAACTTAATGTAAAACTTCCCTTAAAATTCTGGTGTTCTGGTGACAGAATGGTAGCAGCAAACAGATGGAAATTCCATATGAATATGGAGCGCAAAATGGAATATTTTTCATGAGCAGTCATTCTACGTCATGGAAAATGAGTTTCTTTTTGTCACCTCTGCTTGTATCTCTCTGCTAATTATTTTTCTGATTTATGCTTTCAGCAGTATATGCTACTTGCCCCATATTTAAGGTTCTGACAGTATTTCCACTATAAATTCCCATTTCTTTTTTTTTTCTTAACATAAACACACAAATTAGCTCCTTGTGATATGGCTTGTGGAATTTTTTAACAATGAAACCCACTGAAGTTATGTAAATGCAAACATAAAATATATATATATTTAAATTTTTGGTAGCTTGTTTTCTAATTCTGTTATAGGTCATCAGCTGCTATTTCCGTGAGAGAGAACAATGGTACATTTATCAGCACTTTGAATTTGTTGCTTTACAATGTGAGTATAAAACACAGTACTATGGAAGTTGGATTAGCAAAACAGAATTTACCCTCCTCTTCATTATGTGCTATTCCCCTCCCACTCCTCCCATGAAGAATCAGGCCTTTCATGCAGGTATCTCTCATTTTTGAGTTCAATTTTCCTTTTTGTTTGTTTGTGTCTGTTGTCTTGTATTCTTACCGATGGCTTTTGAGGATGAGTCTTTGTTCTGAATTTATGCAGTTCCTCTATTTGTTTACGTGGTACTGGGACCTGAAAAGCCAGAGCCTTAATCAGTTGCAATAATATTTGTGCTTCAGAGTTTGTATTTGTGGTGTTTGCATGTATTCTCTCACAGTGTGTGTGTGCGTGTATATGTATGTTTGAATGCCTGTGTTCATATTCCTGTGTATTTGTAGAGGTACGCAATACTAATCTAGAGACTACTCTCTGTACAGTTCTGTAAATAATAATAATAATAATTCTAGACTTCTATTTCATTAGCAGTAAACTGTAGTACTTTTGCTGGAGTATTTTTATGCTCCAGCCTCATGAGCGTTTTGATCATTTGTAATTTTAGTGGGGGAGGTGGGATTCATTCCAAATCTATAGCATGCTGTACATGCTACCTCATTGCATGATTTTTCACGGTTTTAAGGGTCAAAGATGTTAATAATAGCTATAAAATATCAATTCCCTCTCACCTTTTTAGATAATTTAACTTGAAAATGCATTATTTTATAAACTTTTATTATATGAATAGGGATGGTGACAGTAGAACATGAAAAATGCACGGACCTCTGCTTAACGGCAACATTAATCCCTGAAATGATATTTTGGTGTTGATTAAAATTTTTATTCATACATTTTAAAAACCTGATTTAAATATCAATTTTTCAATCTGTCAAGCAACATTTTTTGTAAATTATGGATCCGATTTTTTTTGCATTATTATTCATGCCATCATGATGTTTAGTTATAATTCATGCAACTGATTTAAAAGTCAATGCTTTATACTTTGAATATAATGAGCTATAAATATTATAATAGGACATTTTCCAAAGGCATGTTTTTAAAAAATCATGTTTGTTTGACAGAACGGAGTGCTGAATAACAACCTATAATGTGTTAAAATAAAGATCATATTTCTCTCATTCTTAAACAAACCTGTAGGCAAAAAGATAGAGGAGGGAGGGGGCTGCCAAATTTCTGTGCAAGTATGAGAATTGACCACTGTTTGTTTGGTGCCCTTCAGGCCCTTATTTTGCAAACACTGGGCTAAAAATGATGTTGATATTTGCACTGGAAAAAGTGAATTTGTTTCTCACTTACCAGCTGAAAAGATAAATTTTTCACTCGATTCCAGTGAAATTACAAGTTGAATATTAATAATGATGCTTTTTTTGTTCTGATTTGAGTCATATTATCTACTCGGCTAGTAGGTGTTTTCCTAATATGACCAGTACTGACAAAGCTGGCAGCTTGAAGTGGTGGATGTGCTCTTTTAAAGAGATGACCTCCCCTGTGTCACAGAGTTGGGCAGTGTGTGCAAATGTGGCTTCCCAGGCCTTCAATGCTGAGGTGGTTTTGCCTGCCACACTGAACCTGGCTTTGCGGTGGCACTTTCAAAATCCAGCTTTGCAAATTTTTGTTATGTCTCGAGTGCTTTGACCTCTTATGGGAAGCCTTTCTCAACATGCTGGTTCTCTGCACTTTCTGGAATAGCAACCGATTTAAGTGCCATTACCTGTAAGTGAATTTTGATATGCTGAACTATGTGTGTTGCTCCAGATTTGTTTCATGACCTCTGTAGGTTATTGCTAGGAGTGGCATTAGTGATTCCATATAGGACCAAAAAAGGACATTCTGTGTCAGAGCATAATAAAAACAAACAGTATGTATTTGTGCCCACTGCTCTGTGCAGTTTTCTTGGAACTGTGGGGTGTTTTTTTTTTCATTCTTAAAATGTAAATGAATGTATCTTGTTATTTAAAACCCTCAACAAGCCAACTTCCATGACAGCTACATTTCAGTGATCAGAATATGTCTATTCTCCTACAGCTTGAGACGATCAAACTCCAAAGGAGTTATGGTCTTCAGTTAATAAAAAGACCATAATAACCTTTCTTGACAAAGGGCTCTGTGTGTCAGCGCAGTCAAGCTACTCCTTTAGAAAATGCATCAGCTGCTGTTTAGGCAGCGGGGTACATACCAGGTGCTACCTTGCAATGACCTCTTCATGAAGGGCTCTTAATAAATGATAAAACCACTTAATGCAATCATAAATAGACAGTTTCTCCAAAACAGTTGTGTAGGGTAAGGTCAGTCAGGTGGTGATGATCTTTACAGACAAGCTTGCAGGGAGATCTTTGTGCACTGTTCTTTGCTCCTTCCTATAAGGAGAAGAAAGTAAATGACAATCCTGTTATAAAAGGTCAAGAAAATCAGACAGGACTTTGGTTTAAAGGTACCCCTCAATTGTCACACTGCGATTTCTGGTACGCTGAGACAATGTTTGTTTTTCAGGATTCAACCTACAGCCAGCAACTCCTTATCCCAAGTGCGGGTTTACCTTTGAAAACCAAAATATATGCAGCTGTGAGAGCAACTAACCTTGATGGCAGGTACCATAGGGGAAGCTATTTCTTGCCTTGCCAGTTTTTCAGCTCTTGGGATTGTAAATTTATTATCTGATAGAAATCAGATATATAGTTGTCTTTTCTCACAGCCTTTTGCAGGTTAAAAGTGTGGCTTGTGTTTGTTGATTGTTTCCCTTGGCCAAAGGAAATATGTTCTTCAAGCCGAATGCATATCTTACCTCATATCTTGCTCTTTATGAATGTTTTCCTGAACTATGTTTTAAATCTCTCATTCCTGTGCTTTATGAGAGATTCTGCATGACCAAAGAAGAAACTCATGAGCTTTTAAAAGCAGGAGAGTCTTGATTTCTGGTCCTGCACGGTCATGACTTCTGTAAAGACGTGGATAACAAGTAGACTATTAGAAAGAACTGCATGATGTTTGTCTTGAATGAAACCAGATCGTTTGACTTGCATCATTCTGCTGCTATGCTGTATGTGGCTTAGTTTGGTAGGTCAGGAGTAAAAAAAAAAAAAAAAGGGGGGGGGGAGGATGTAGTGGGAATGCAGGATGTTAAATATAACAACTGGCTTCAATGTAACAGTCTGCGTTATCAGTCTGTATACCTACCTCTTCTGCGTTTTAGTCTTTCCTCCCTGACTCTGCACCTCTGCCTTTACCATTCTGTTCACTGGTCATTTATTTCTGTGCTTCTTGTGCAGGTGGAATGTTTTGATGGACTACTGCTACACCACTCCGTCTGGTAATCCTAGTGATGATCTCCGATATGATCTTTTCTTCAGGTGGGTCTTGTGTAAACAGACTTTGAAATCAGTTACAAATCCCTTTGGTAGTGTTCTAAACTATTTGGAAACTTGAGCCATATTAACTGAGAGGCTTCAGGATTGTGCTTACAGACAAGATCAGAACATACTGTGTTTGTGAACTTACACATCAAACAAGTGCACAGTCATGAGAATTATGAAAAGAGCTCTACTATAGGTCTACTAGAGACCCTAAGAACCTCCAAACTAAATGGTGTTTTATTAAAATGTATCTTAATTTTGCCAAAGGCAGGTTGATAGGTACCCTCGCAGAGTGGATGACAAATATGTAAAACATCACAGACACCAGTTCAGGAAAGCATGCAAGTAAATGATTAAAGACAAATATATGCTTCTGCTGCAACTTCCACTAATAATATATTTCCTTGTATTGGATTTTTGGAAAACATAAATAGCATCCTAACAGTATCTCAGCTTAAATCTCATCAATAGCAACTACTGGAGATACCACTTAAATTGGGGTTACCTGTCTATACCAGTTAGCATATCTGATTGGTTTTTGCTTCAGGTCTCAAATTTCTTTGGGCACTGGAATTAAGTGGTTCCTTGGTTGTAGCTGTCATGTTGCAAAGCAAAACTGGACTGTTTGGCAGCAATGTATTTCAGCAAGCGTTGTACTGCCTAAACCAAGTGATCATAGCTGCCCATATATAGCATGCTATGGCTATTTGCTATGAAAGTTACCTCTCAGCTACTGGCTTGAAAAAGCAATGATCTAAGTGCTCGTCTAGTTTTAATCTTCTCTACAAAATTTAGCTGTGACAAGGACCCACAGACAACTATAATTGAAAATGGGAAGAGCCAAATGGGCCGTTTTTCCTTCGAGGTGTTCCGCTTTGTGAAGCACAAGAACCAGAAGATGTCTACGGTCTTCCTTCACTGTGTGACAAAGCTGTGCAGAGCAGATGACTGTCCCTTTCTTGTGCCAGTAAGTTCGGTGAAAGGAAGCTGCATCCAAATGCAAAGGTTGCTTGGGTGAACCAAAAGGAGGGTGACTTCCAGAGTCGAAGGTGACTTTCAGAGCCTGAAGGAGAGATGCCTTTCTCATGTCTGAAGTAACCACTCTGGAATAGCTTAAAAGCTGATATTCGTAGCATAGCACCTGAAAAGCAAGGTACACCCAATCACAGCAGTTGAATGTAAATATCTTGGAATAATGGAAACTACTAATTGAGGTGTATTAAGTGTTGTTGTGATCCTGACAAGGAAAATTTGATAGTA